AAAGAGAGAAGGGCAGGGGCAGGAGGAGGGAGGACTGATTGAGGAGAGGGTAGCAAATCAGGACAAGGAATCCCAGGATGTTAGGGTGGGCCTGGATGGGTCTGGGGGACTGGCAAGGGGGCATCTCATTTAATCAGTTTTGACCTTGCAGCGTGTGTATGTGTGTATTTTAAAACTAAAATGAAAAGAAAACAACTACAAGGAGGCCGAAGGGGCCTTTGGGTGACTCACTCTGCCAGCAGCAGTGTGGACCAAGGACACGTTTTTCAGTGCATGCCACACACACACACACACACACACATCCTGGCCATACATGCCACACACGTGCCATGCACACTCGCACATCGGGTCCTCCCCATTGGAGCCAGGGTAGCTTCAGACTGTTATTTTCTGGATCCGCTCGCCATCTGCCTGCTCTGTCCAGGCCTCTGCTGGCCTGTCTCCCCGGCCGTTAGCACCCTGGCCTGCCCCAGCGCCCCGCGGGCCATCTACCAGATGTAGCCTCCGTCATCCGCCTCGCCAGCCTCGCCCTCCTCTTCTGCCTCCTCGCCTGCTTCCTCTGTCTCCTTCTCCTCCTCGTCCTCCCAGCCGACACCGCTCCCGAAGTCCCCTGAGAAGCCCATGATGTCGTCTGTGAGGGGAACAAGCCAAGGGGCAGGTTAGCATCCTGCTAGCAGGAAACCTTGCCACACTGAGCTGGGCCTCTGGCGGCTGTCCGGCCCTTACCACAGTCAGGGCTCCCATGCGTGCGGGTGCCGGTCAGCTCCAGGCCCAGCTGGTCCACACACCAGCAGTCGCCGCTGCTCTGGTCGCACTGCATCTTCCGGTAGTAGCCATCCTCGTCACAGCTCGGGATGAAGACTCCTGAATGGGGCACGCCCCGCAGGGTCAGAGCAGGGGCCTCGGGGTGTGGGCTCTTCCCAGAGGTGGCCCTGGGACCTTGGGTTCACAGGGTCCCATACCCCACCAGATCCCAGCCAGCGCAGGTACTGACCACCCAACAAGCTCAGACGTCCAGGGTTGGACGCCAGCATTTATTCCAGCTTGACTGACCAGAAACAAGAAAACCTGCCTTTCTAAACCACCTGCTCAGCCCCTACAATGGCTCCCATCTGCCTCCACAGTTCCCAAGTCCTGCAGGATGGCCAGGGTGACCTCGTTGTGCCAGATGCCCTCCATCCTACAGCTGCTCCTCTGCCTGGCTGTCTCCTGCCAGCAATGCCAGCTTCTCCTCCCAGCCCTCTGATTCTGACCTGCCCTCAGGCTGCTCCTCTGTTCACTTAACAGACACCGACTGACATCCCCACTCTGGCGGCCCCAGTGATAGACTCTGCCCACTTAGTAGGGGTGAGATAACATAGAAATGTTAACACCAGGCACCCCAGGACATGTGCCCTAAGGCCCAGGGCAGGGGAATGCAGACCAGAGAGGATTGCTTCCAGGAGGAAGATCCTGGCTTCCTGGCAGAAGTGGCACTAGTGCCTGCCCCCAAAGGCCACTGGGTTCTCAGTCAATACGGCTTTGCAGGGAGCTTCCAGTGTTTGGTTTCATATGTGCCGGTCTCACTGCCCAGTTAAAGGCAAAGCTGCACCCAGGAGCTATAAGGCCCCATGGGATCTGCCCCTCGGACCGCTGTCCTCTCAACCACCACGCTCAGCCACACGGGTCCTTTCTGTGTCCCAAGAACGTTTTCCTGCCCTCAACTCTGCTCCTGGCTACCTCGTTCTCATCCCTCAGGTCTCCTCTTGAACACCAGCTCCCCAGAGAGGCCTTTGCTGACCCCAGGCTGACTTCTGTCCACTGTGCTCTCCCTCAGCACCTCAGCTACATACAGGAGCCACAACCGGTCGCTCTGTCTTTCTGGTGTGTCACCTTGTGGGTTGTGTTTCCCCAAGTAGGCTGTGTGCTTTATGAGGCCAGGGACCACTACTGTCTTGCCCATCAGTTCTGACCTAGGCTGGGTTTGCTGTTGTCTCTCCAGGGCTGGCACTCAAATGTTTGCCGAGAACACGAGCATCTGCTATGGTGGGGCCTCCCTTGAGCTTTGCACACACCCTGGCTGAAATGAATTGAACAGAGAGTTCTAGGAACCTTCTGTATCCCTACCTCCAGCCCCGGCAGGAATGGGCACAAAATCAGTGCTTAAAACACACTTACTGAGGGGCTGGTTGGGAGACCTTTCCCCACCAGGAGGATAAAGACAGGAGGGAGTTTCCCTCTCCTGTCTTCCTAAGCCAGGGCCTCCTCTGAACTCAGCATCTTCCATGATACCGAGGGGCTAGAGCCTCTGGGCCTCAGAGGGACCCCGGGGCACCTGACTCCTCCTCTGAGTCGAGCCCAGCCCCCTCACCTGGCTTCTTCTTGGCAGCCTCCTGGATCTGGATACGCTCCAGCTCTGCCAGGCAGGGGGGCTCTGCAGGGAGAGAATCAGCCTCTGATGGGGGCTGTCCCATGGTGCTGATGGGATTCACTGAGCCCCCTCAAGGCTTAGAAACCCAGTCAGAGGGCTCTGCAAGATGAAAATACCCAGGCTCTGACACAGCGCTGCCCCACAGTGGGATGCATTGATCCTTCTAAGGTCTCCAAAACTGGCACAGGGCTCTGCCAGATAAGAACACCCAGGTTCCAACTGGGAGAGGCTGTTCCATGGCTGTGGGATGTGCTGGGGCCCCCCAATAAGCCCAGGAGTATCTCTGAGGGTATTGGCCACTCATGGGATGGGTAAACAGGATTCAGAAGAGGAGGTGAATGCACAGATTCCCCAGGGTGAGAGGGCCCGGGGGCAACATAAGACTGGAGGGAACATTAGATGGAAGCCTGAAAATAACTGGCAGCCAAATCTAACTTGTCTGTGACCTTGAGAAGTCCCCTAGCCCTTCCCAGCGGGGGCCTGGCTATCTGTAAAATGAGATCAGCTCCCAGCCTCCTGCCCAAGAAGACTACTATACAGAATGGAGAGCACGAGCTCCAAAGGCCTGGGAAGTAAAAGTGCTGGAGCTGTGCAGAGAGAGCAGGAAGGCTGGGCAGTTACGGGCAGTAAAACTGGTCAAAATACCCAACACTGGCAGAGGGATTTGTGATTTACATGGTGCTCTGCACCCAGATTTTCTCTCTTCACCTTCACAACAGTCTCTGAGGTATTGTTATCTCCCCATTCGGACGAAGAAACTGAACTCGGAAAGATTCAGTTGCCTGCCCGGCGTCCCACACCAGCTTATGGCGGAACCCTAGAGGAAGCCCCAGCCTCGGGCCACAGCTGCTGTATACTCCCATCACACGACCACAGTGGGGACCAGGCCAAACACCAGAGGCAGAGCACAGGCTACCCCACCTCTGGCCGGTCAGCTGAGGCCTCGGAACCTCAGTTTAACCATCGCTGATGGTTATTCACTTGGCCTAGATGATCTCTAAGCACACGTCCTGCCCTGGCTCAGGATACATAAAGCTGACAAATGACGTTATATCTCTAAGGCTAATGATCACACACATAATCACATATTTGGGGCAAGTACTGTGAGATGGGCCTAAAGGTGCAACCACTGAGAAGCCAACCTAGCTTCAGCTTCAGGAACCCTGAGTCCCTTCCAAGCCCTCCGAGGAGCCCTAGAAATTTTACATGTGTAGTTTTTAATACTCTTCCTTAAAGCAGGCCTCCGAAAGTGCATAAGCTTCAGGACCCATAAAATCCACCTTGGAGCCTGCCGAGGAAGGGAGTTCAAGTGCTGGCTTCCCTGGGCTCCAAGAGATGAGGTGCTGAGAGAGTGTAGGAAGTGGGGGAGCAGGAAAAGTTCTGGCATGGGGAGGTAGCCAAGAGGGAGCCACCCCGACTCCCAAAGACAGCCTGGAGCAAGGGGCAGAGCCCGCACAGCAGGGCCGGGGGCCCGAGGCCCTGGGAAGGGCCACACTCACTCTCTCTCCAGAAGCAGAAGCACCACTCGGCGGTAGAAACACGGCCATCCTTGTAGGTGTCGCAGGAGTTGAAGAAGGGGCGGATGCAGACCTCGTACTTGTCCAGGTTGACGGCAGCCAGCTCCGTCTGGTCCAGGAAGAGGTCGGCACTTGTGTCCAGCTTGGAGAACATCCAGCCGATGGAGTCCTTGCAGCTGGCCCCCAGGCTCTTGTCCAGCCCTAGAGAGAAGGCCACGGTTCAGACCTGCTCAAGGTAAATCGCTCCATCCATCTGTCCATCCATCCCTCCACCTCTCTGTCAGCCCCAGCCCTCTGTTCAGGGTCAGAACAGCTCAGAATCCAACCATGGCATTGAGAAATTCGAGAACGGCTGAAGGCCCATCCCTCAGCCTCTGCATAGGACTGCACCCAAACCAGTCAAAACCCCGTTTTGAAAGCCCTTCAGGAAAAATAATTCCTTCCCTTCCCTTGGCCACCCATTTCAGGGTTTAGCTTCCTTCCACTCATTTTAAGAATTTCCTCCTGTTAGCTATCCCAAATCCCTTCTGTCTGATCAAGGCTCTCTCCCCTTGTTCTGAGGTTTAGGTTCTTTTAGGGGCTCAGGGTCTGGCAGGAGGGAGCAAAAGTGGGTGCTCCCCAGTGCAGCCAGGTGGCCCAGTGTACTCCCATCTCCCCATCTCCCACCCTCCTCCCCTGCAGAGCAACCAGCTCCTGTACCACTGGCCGGGTGGGCCCCACTGCTGGCTGAGCCGTTCTGCTTGGAGTTCTCATGAAGGAGCTGGAACCAGTCCCGCAGCCGATCCCCCAAGTCAGCCAGGTCCTGGCCCGTGCAGGTCTCTGCAATCGGCAGAACAGGGAGAAGGGGGTGGAGGGTGAAGGTGGGGTGAAGCAGCAACCATGTTCTCAGCTGGGGGTGCTGCCCTACAGGCCTGGGGCTGGGCAGTGGGATGCCAGAGGGAAGGGGAGTTAGAAATCAGAGGCTCTCTCTCCTCCTCTCCCATCTTCCTCCTCCGCCTCACTCCCTAGCACTAAAAACACCCAACGCAGTCTCCCTGGGATGAGGCCGGGGCCCTCCTGCTCCGTGTAAACCAGACGTCCAGACCCACAGGTTCCCCAGGCCTGTCCCTGTCTTTGCTACTCCTCCTGAAGGAGGCGCCCCGGGGCCCTGGCAGCGAGCCACCTCCCACCCCTAGCCTGGCTGCAGCCCAGCACTCATTACCTGGTTTGCCATCTGTGGAGGAGGTGGCGGCCTGCTCCGTGGGGCAGGGGCAGGGGCCCTCGCATTTCACCGTCAGCTGCTTGCTGCTCAGGCACGCCTGCTGCTCCAGCTTACACTGCACGAAAAGAAAGGTCAGGCTAGGTGACGGGGGCACTGCTAGGGGCACCCTCCAGCCAACCATGGCAGCCACATCTGCCTTCCCCCTTCGAGATGGGAGGGACAGACCCACAAACAGCCTGGAGCAGCCCTCCTAATCCCCCTGGAGGCCACAGGTGTACAGTGGTCAGGGGCAGCAGGCCCAGGAAGCGGGGGGGACTCAAAGGCTCCCAGGAGCCCCACTCCGCACCAGCCTGCCTCTCTGCATAGTTGTCCTTCCCAGGAAACCTCCATCCCCTCACCCCCACTCACCCACTCCTCCTCGCCCTCCTGGCCTCTCCTCTTCCTCCCCACAGTCCCTTGGCCCCTAGGTAACCCGGCTGTGGGCCCCTCCCTCATGGCCTTCCCACAGTCACCTCCATGGGCTCTCTTGATAACAAACAGCTACTGGCTATTGAACATCTGCTAATTCCCTGGCCTTTACAGTTTCCAGAGGGGTTCATCCATTCCTCGCCCTTCAAGTGTTTTCCCCTGGTCGTGTCTGGTTTCTCCCCATGGGATGACCGCTCATGGAAGCGTGTCCTCGTAGCATTTTACAACATGACCTCACCTGGCCCCCGACAGCTCTGTGAGGGAGGAATTGTGTTTCTCATGCTCAGCAGAGAACACGGAAGCTCAGAGAAGCCCAGTGACTCAGCCAAGGCCACGGGGCTGGGCTGGAAGCCAGACCTCCCGATGACCTCCACCTCCCCACAGGGCAGCGCTGGGACCCTCAGACCACAGCCTCCTGCCCAAACCCCGCTTTGCCCTCAGGTGGTGTGACTCAGCGCTCTCCTTCTTTCTCTACCAGCTCCGCCTACGTCCTCTGTACCCTCCTCCATGCAGCTTCTGCCCCTTTGCTTATTCTCTCTCTGCCTTATTCTCCCCGGGTGACCTCATCCCCTCCCCAACGTCAATCATCACCCACAACGGGTGACTCTTTCATCTGCATCTCACCCCAAAAGGGTTCCTAAGACCCAGAACCCAACTCCAGCTAACAGTCCATGCCCTCCAAACACCAAGCAACTCCTCACAGCTAGCAGAAGCATTCACAATTAGCACCCGCATTTCTAGGGTACTTTAAAGTTTATAAAATGCTTTCACAAATACTGTCTCATTTAACACTCACAAAAATCTCATCAAGTTGGAATTCATTCACCCAACCACCGTTCCCTCCCACACTGTCATCTCACGGAGGATTACTTCCTCTTGCCCCAGATTGCCTGGTGCTTGCTGGTGAACCATCCTGTCCATGTGGATATCCACCCATGGGAAGATTTCAACCCCCAGCACCTAGACGACGGAGCTCCTTCCTTCTATTGCCCTCCATACTTTCATGAGGCCCTTTCCTCACTTACTCTGACTTGCAGTTACCGGCCTTCTCCAGGCCCCAGACCCCACCTGCACCTGCCCGAGGTCAGGGGCAGGGTCTGGCTCAGACTCCCGGGCTTGGTGCCCCTGCTGTGGTCGGCCATGCTGAATGCGCCGACAAGTGCATCCGGCCCCACAGCAGTACTGGGAGCCCCACAGAAGGCCCAGCTGAGCTGTCCCCTCTGCTCCCTGTGGACTCCAGTGCACCCCACCCCCACCCCTCCTGGGGCCAGGGCTCCTCACCACTGAGCTGTAAGTGTGGCCATCAGAGCCGCAGACGGAGGCGAGGTGGGCCATGTGACAGGGCTTACACATGGTGTCTTTGTTTCCATGGAGTTTCAGCGCAGGCTGCTTGATCCTTCAGGAGGAGCAGAATGGGAGGGCACAGGGGTGGAAGCAAAAATGAGAGACGGACAGGGCAAGGGAGGGTTCAGGAGACTGGTTCCAAAAAGAAGTTGCTCTTGGTGATCTATAGTAGATGCAGCTGCCTCCCTGCCCCTGCCCACCTCCCACCACCCCCAGCCAGACCCTCTTCTAGCTTATAAAGGTGGAACCAACAGGGCGGGGTATAGACCCCCAGCTTCCCCTTTCCAGCAGGGCCCCCAGGTTGCAACTCCAGGCCCAAGTGTAAGATGTAAAAGGGACTCACACTTGCGTAAGGGGTAAGACCAAATCAAAGGTTGCAAACTGATGGCCCATGGGTCACATCTGGCCTGTAGGATCATTTTGTTTGACCACCAAGGGTTTTTGTTTTTAATTGGGTTATTCATGAACATTTGCAAAATGGAAGAGTTCACATAAAAAAACCCTGGATTTCTGGCCTAGTTAAAATGGAAGATATGGGAGTCCTGGTCCTGCATTTCCAGAAGGCCTGGGCTCACCAGAGTGGTCTGTCACCAAGCTCTCTTCATGCATTTACATTACCTGCCAGGCCCCTACAGGCATCTAAGATTGCAACCCCAAGTCTCTGGTCTCTGAGTCTATGATTAAGGAGAAAGGGGAGGGAAATGGGACCTTCTCCAGGGGGTCTTGGAGTCAGGCAGGGTTTTGTCCTTGGGCTGGAGCTAAGGCCTCAAATGCTCCTCTGCAAGCCTCAGAAGCTACAATCTTAAATATTTCATGAAGTGGTTCCATGTCAGTGCTGGAAGGAACCTCAAACTATCTGGGCCAACCTATTTGTCGGATATGGACACCGAGGCCCAGAGAGGAGATGTGCTTTTCCCTGGGTCCCACAGTTTGGTATCTGATCTCATACAGTGTGGTGGTTTTGAAATATGTCCACAGATACTTTGACACTCCTCCCTTCAAAACATGGAACCTAATTCCCCTCCCCTAGAGTGTGGCAGTACTTAAGACTCGCTCTTAACAAATACAGGTGGCAGAAGTAACAATGTGTGACTTCTAAGACTAGGTCATAAATGTGGCTTCCTCCTTGCTCTCTCTCCCTTGAATGACTTGCCTTACAGGAAGCCAGCTGCCATGTTGTGAGGACACTCAAGCAGCCCTATGGAGAGGTCCCCTTGACTAGGGCCAACAGCCAAGTGAGTGAGCTTGGAAGTGGATCCTCCAGCCTGAGTGCAGCCTTCAGATGATGCAGCCTCAGCCAGCATCTTGACTGTAACCTCCTGACAGTCCCTAAGCCAGAACCATCCAATAGAACCACATCTGATTCTTGACCCTCAGAAACTGTGAGATAACACACATTTGTTGTTTTAAGCCACTAAGCTTTGGAGTAGTTTGTTCCGAAGCAAAAGATAACTGATTCTCTCCTATGTATTAGTTAAGCCCTTGCTCTTTAAGCAAACCCCCTCCAGGCCTCCCACCTCCCCAAGGCCCTCACCTGTGCTCCAGCTTCTTGCGGCTGATGCACATTGCCCGCTGGTAGCCCTGGGCAATGCACACTTTGTGATGGCTGCACTTCACCTTCTGGCAGGGGTCCTTGGTGGTATCCAGGGCTGCAGGGACACAGAGTTAGGACACAGGTCACCTGGGACTCAGTGTTAGAGAGCCCAGGAGCCCCCAGCCCCACTTCTGAGCTGGGAAGCCCCTCTCTCTATCAGCCCTTGATAACCAGAGCTCCTCGGCTTGGAAGTTCCTTCCCCATTTGGTCTGGTTCCCCAAGGAGCGTCCAAAGCCATGATCAGGACTTGCCCTCTGGTCTCAAGTCCTCACGGGTGTCAGTCACCTTCCCCAACGTGGGAGGGGCATGTTACCTTCATCTCCTTGCTGACTGTCCTCCCAGCTCCTGATGTAGTCATCCTAGGGAAGGACGGAGCGGGTGAGGGAGAAGGGAAGGGCTAAGATTTACATCCTAGAGCCGAAGTTCAACCCCAGGGCCAACAGAGGAGAAGCCTGGGCCACTGCTTCCGCATGCCAACTGCCACCATCCTCGTGGTTTCCCAGATGACCCCTGTCCACCCAGGCCCTGCCAGCTGCCTCCCCCAGACCTCTATCCCCCTAAACCCATGTCTAGAATCTCTTCCGGCCTCTCCCCTATCTCCTCTCTCCTTATTCCACACCCCCCATCCCACACTGGATGACGCAGGGGAGGAGACATTGGGTAAGTGTGCAAGGGAGAAGAGAGTGGGGTGTGTAGCTGCAGATACATATGCAGTGGAGCCCCAGGCAGTACTCACCTCTACCTCCTGGGGATCGGGAAGCAGCAGCAGGCCACGGGAACCGGAGCAGGAGGAGAGAGGGAGAGACGAGGATTTTAGTGTGAGGCCTACCCTCAGACCATGTGGTCACGGCTCCCCAGGCCTCATCACGTGACTGTGGATGCTGGGCAATGGTCTTTGATTGATACCATCCTCTGACCTCTATGGCCTCCAACTGGAGAATAGTACTCCTATGTCTTTACAAGAGAGCTTAAGGCCTGGGCCCATTCAGGGCTGGCCTTAGGAGCAGCAGAGGTGAGGCCCATGGCTTTAACGGTGAGGTGCCATCCCTCTACTTCAGGCCCTGAAGCTGGTCCCAAAGGAACCAGCCCTCAACCCACCATCAGAACAGATGTCTGAGGGGCCCATACTGCCTGGGAAGTGATTCTCATGCCTATGCCCTGGCTGTTCCAGAAACACCCTCTCTCCTTCTACCAGGGTCCCTCCCTTCCTAGGCAGTCCCCTCCCCTGACACCTGTTTTTCAGTCAAGGTCTGACTTGCGTGCAGAACTCAGATGGTGCACTGAGAGAAAGGGGGACCATGGCCCCTCCCAACAGCTTCCTCAGTTACCATCGTCCAGCTGCAAATCCTCAGACTCAGAAGATCCTGAAAAGGCCCTCTGAGGTCATCTGTCCCAGCCCCTTCTATGTGCAGGAGAGGCCGGGAAGTCCAGAGACAAGAAATGACCTGACCCAAGTCCCACCATCTCAGAACCCAGGTCACCCAATGCCCAGCACAGACCTCTCTTCTGGATACCGCACACTGTCGGGCACCCGGGGCACACGGGAGCTCTCTCCTCACCCTCCTCCGGCTGCAAGTCCTTCCCCTGGGCCTGTGGACCCTGCAGTGGCCAGAGGCAGAGCAGCTCCCATCCAGCCTAGCTCACTGGCATAAAACCCCAGCTCCTCTGGTTTCCCCACTTTCTCCTGTGGGGTGGAGGCAGCAGCTGAAAACCAGTAAACAGCTCCCAAGGTGCTCCCAGTAGCAGCTCTGCCAGGCAGGCGGGAGAGGGCTTCTCTGGACTGGAGGCTGGCAGTGCCAAGGAGCCAGCTGCCGCCCTCCTCTGCATGGGGCTCCGGGTGCTGGAGGACAGGGGGGCAGGAGAAGCCATGTGCAGCTGCCTCCTCATCGTGAGTCCCACCCAAGGATCAAAACTATGCAAGGATGAGGGCAGAGGCCACACTGTGGGGTAGGGGTGGGAAGGGACCAGACTCCTGTCAGGCCTGGGGAAGAGGGCATGGGGTCCTGCACCGGAGGGCACCCACAGGGCCTTGAAAGCCCAAGGGCTCTGAGGCCTCTGATGTGTCCCCTGGAAGTTGACAAGCATCAGGAACAGGCAGGGGCAAGAGCCCTTATCAACAAAGCCTCCTGGGCAAAGGCCAGAGACGGGCCATGCCGATCAAACAGTTGGCATCAGACCCAGGTAGAGCACGCTGGGGTCAGGTGCAAACCTGAGTGTGTGCTTCTGCACACGCACACGTGTGTGCATTCATTTGGGTCTTCACACGTGCACACTCATGGGCGTGTGTCCCAAAGCACCTGTGTGGGCAGGCATGCGTGTCCTCGTCTGTGAGCATCTGTACCCATGCACACATGTGAAGCAACAGTGTGTGCTGGGTGTTCGTAAGAAAGAAGGACACTTCAAGACAGTTCACCCAATGCCAGTTGGTTTTCATCTAGAAACTAAGTAACAACCCACATATGTGTCCAAGCAGCCAAGTGTCCTGCAGTCCTTGGACCCAGGAGCAGCAGGAGGAAAGCCACAGGAGGGGCTTCTGGAGAACCTAGCCTGGGCGGCCCCCTGGACACTGAACAGACCTGGCTCAGGCACCCACCCAATTCCACAGGACGTGGCTGGAACCCTCTTGAGCCCCTGGGCAAGCTTCCAAGAAGACCGCCAGGCAGCCAACAGGGAACTGCGGCATAATTTCCCTTTATGCCAGGGCCAAAGGAAGCTAGCCCAGACCCAGCCCCTCTTCTCCAGGAGCTCATCAGGGTGGAGGGGTCCCTCCCCTGGTGTCCACTCACCACAGATGGGAAATGAGGCTGAGCATGGCCAAGTGGTTGAGGCCAGGGTTATAAGTTGGGGCAAAAGTAGGGACTGGCCTTCATGGAGTTGGGGTCTTCCCATCTGCTCCATCATCCTCTGAAGGGGAGTGGGCATGAGGTTGTGAAGAGGACGGGGGAAGTGGCTTGTGTGAGTCACCTGCTTTCAACCAACAAGGTCTGTGTGCCCCAGAACCCACCCACACCTGAACTGGAGCAGGGAGGGGTGTTAGCCAAGGGCCTTGATACCTGCTCATTCCCTCCCTCACTCTGGACCTAACCTAATGCCTTAACCTCCAACCAGGCTGTGAGCAGAAGCCTTTGGAACTCAGAACAAAGAAGGTTCTCAAAGGTCAATACCAAGAATTTCTGATTAGAAATCCAGGGGGGAGTGGGCTGGGGGAAGAGAGAGTTCTAAGAAAGGACTATTTCACCATCCAGCCCTGTGAGAGCCCTGGTGGGGAGCCATCTCCACCTACCCCAACCCAAGTGAGGCTAAGACTCCCCCTGATTCAGGATACAGGGACTGAGCCCCTTTTGTATACAAGGGTTGCCCTGGGTTCTAGCTAAGCTCCTTGTCTCCACGGTGGTGGATGAGGTTGGGGGAGGCCGAAGTGGTTCTGGATCCCAGGACCCTCAGTTCCAGGAGAATGGGAGCAGCCAGCCAAAGAGGGGGATGAGGGGGAGAGAGGGCCCTGGAGTCACACAGAAGCCCATGCTCCCTTACCAGCGTACCTCGGGCAAGCACCTTGGCCTGTAGGAGCTCAGCACCTAATGCCTGGACTGCTCAGAGATTAAAGGAGATGGTATCTGAAGGGTGCCTGGTGTCCACAAAATACTCAACAAATAAAAGCTGTTATAGCAGAAGAGACCAGAGACTTCAGGTGGAAAAAATGGTGGAGGGACAGGAAATGGGCAGGGAGAGGCCACATGAGGGGCCCCTGCAAATGGAGAAGAGAGCGGCCACCACTGGGAGAGCAAGAGACCAGTGTGGTGTGAGGAGAGTTGCCCCCAAGGGGTCTCAGTGAGAGGAGCAAGTCCTGTCCACTCCACCTCCTGCTCTCTCTCCAGCCTGCCTTCCCCTCACCATGCCCACTGGTCTCACCCTAGCAACCCCGGCCTCACTTACTGCAGGGTCTCCTCTGGGCTCTCCCTGACCCCGCCCATCTTCCACACCCCTGCAGCCACAGGGATCTGTCTAGAAGATAATTCTGATCATGTTTCTCCCACCTTAAAACCCTTCACTAAATATATAGCTTGCTCTTATTTTGAAAAAAAATGTTTAAAGATGATTAGGTAAAAAGCATTCATATCAAAATGTTAACAGTGGTTTCCTCTGGGGGAGAGGAGTAGAGAATCTGGGCATCTTTCTGCCTTTTTCCAAGTTTCTAAAATTTCTACAATGAACATGTATTACTTTTGTAATGAAGGGGGAAAAAAAAAACCAATAAATATTATATTTAAAAATCCTCACAGGGTTACCTGTCACCTACAGAAGAAAGCCCATCTTCTCTGAGTTTCTTCCTGTCCCCATGTCCTTCCAGTGGATATTTCACTCTGGCCAGGCCTCGGCACAGCCTCCTTCCCCCTCTGGAATGTATGTTTGCATCCAGCCCCTGAACTTCTATTTATCTTTCAAAACCTGGCTTTCACACTTCATCTTCCCTAACCTCGCCCCATATCTAGTTTTCCTTCAGGTGGACTGCACCTAGTAGAAGTTTATTATTGCTCTGGTTACACCAAGCAATGCCATTGCTTCTGCCCTATTTAGGTGGCCAGTTCCTTGAGGGCAGAGACCATATAAAGTTCACCTTTCTATGCCCAACACCTAGCAATAGTAAAAATACACTAATAATAGCTAACATATTTTGAGCAATTACTGTGTGGCAGGCATTGCGCTTTGCACTTTGCACTCATTGGCTCATTTTACTCTTCATGAGAATTTAAGAGAAAATCACTATTATCATCCTATTTCTCAGGTGATAAAAATTGAGGCTTGGAGAGGTTAAGTGACTTATACAGGATCACACATCAACAGCACAGAAGAGCATTGGTACCCCCAGAACTGGGATTCCAGAATCTGTGCCCCTAACCAGGACCCTGTATTGCTCCATAAATTTTCACAGATAAAGAAAGTCCCAGGCCAGGACTGGACCCAGGAGGCCCAATCTCAGCCCATGGTTGGTTTCTCCCACCACACCAGCTCTGCTCCAACCCCTAGGCAGGGAGTCTTGTAAGCAGAGTGGAGAGACTGGCGGTAGTGGGGGAAGACACCTGGGGGCCCCCCTTCTCCAGGCATTTCCAGAACCCTCTTCACCCGCCCCTGGTTCGGCTGGTTTGGAGCTAACCCATCTCCTGCTTTGATCTCAGCAGCTCAGCCCGGTTGCCATGGAGACAGGGCCCACTGTGCCAAGCTGGGGGAGAAACGGCAGTGAGTGTGCAAGCCTAGTCGGGCTTAGGGGGCACATGCTGGGTGTTTCCAAGCGCTGTTTACTTCCTGTCATTTTAATTAGCACCCAAATCACCCGCTCACTTCACAGCTTGAATTAACCCAATCTCCCCCAGCCTCTCCATCTGGTGGGGAGGATGGGACACAGCAGTGAATCAAGCGAAAGAAGAGCAGCGCCCCAGGGCTAAAAACCACCTGGGCAAATCTCCACCTGCCTCTCTGAGGCACAGTGTGATGGAGAGACTGACACCCCCCACCCTCGCCCTGGCGTGGAATCAGGGCACTGGGTACTGGCCTGGCCTGGCCTCTGACTGCCAGCAAGACTGTGGCCTAGAGAGCCTTGCCCTCACTGGAGCCCCTTCCCTTGCCTATAAAGTAAGAGTGACTCCCTTGCCTTCCTCCCTGAGCTGCGGAGGGACCCAGTGCGATAACAGCTGTGAGAGCACTTTGTAAACTGTGAAGCTCTATACTTGCAAAACTCATGAAACATGA